TGACACAAACCAAAGAGGGGGATGTGGATAAAATGTGTGATTGAAATGGGAATTCACTGAAAGCCTGCATTCTCAAAGATGTGACTCTCCTGTACATTTACTGTATCCTCTTAGAAAATGGCTGGGTATTTGTACCACTGGTAGCTGGCTGACTGATTATTCTTTAGAGAAACTGACTTCCAAAGGAAAGACTTCAAGCACCTGATATTTGACCATCTCCAGGGAAAAGATTAGTTCATTGTTCCATTGGCACATTCAAGCCCACCAATCGAGAAACTTGTCATAAACATAGATTTTATAATCAACTTTGAACACCTCTCTATTAAATGTGAATAATTAAGGACCACAAAGGATTTGAAGAAGATATCCAACACAGAAGAAAAGCACCTAAATAAACAGAAAAAAAAGAAAGTTGGATAAATAATTTAGGAGACAAGACTTTTTGAAACAAAGTAAGTTATTTTATTAGAGATAGAAGATAATGAACCTATTAAAAAACATTCTGATAAATATTAAGTGAATGAGAAAGATGGTGATATTATGTATATCTGTGTTTCTTTATAGTGATGTAGGGAGCTAGAAGGAGCTTTGCTTCTACGTTTACCAGGAAAACACTGGCCAAACTACAAAACAATTGTTCTTGAACCCATTGGAGAACTGAGGTCATTGAACAATGAAGCAGTTTTAAATCTAGGGAAAAGCTGGGCATGGTGGTGCATACCTATAATTCCAGTGCTCTGGGAAGCTGAGGCAGGAAGAACACAAGTTCTAGTCCAGCTTGAGCAGCTTAGTGACTTAATAAAACTCCATCTCAAAATAAAAAATAAAACAGGGCTGGGGATATAGCTCAGTGTGAATGTCCTGGGTTCAGTCCCAGTACTGAAAAAGAAAGTACTGAATAAATTGTGGAATGATGAATGAACACAACTACCTTGAATAATCACAATAGTATTTAACACTAGACTAGATAAAGCAGAGATAAGAGTCAGCAAGTGTACAGATAGGTCACTGGAAGTAATTCAGAGAAGCAAAATGAAAAAGCAGTGGAAAAGAATGAGGGAGGCATAAATGCATTATATAGTTCAATTGAGCAGATGTCTGTCCATCTGTCTGTCTATCTATGGGCACCTAAGGAGAAGAAAGAGAAAAGAACCAGAAAGCTTACTTTAAAAATGACTGAAAACTTCACAAATCAGGACAAGGAAGTAGACGTCCAGACTCAAGAAGCTCAAAGCACACAAAGGAGGATAACTTAAAAATCCAGATCAACACATTAAAACAAATTGTGATATATCAAAGACAGAATTTTGTAAGAATCAAAAGAAAACCAAGTTGTTTCATATAATGGAAGCTCTGTATTATCAATGGAATTTTCCACAGAAACTGCAGACCAGAATGGATTGGGATGGGTCTGCCTTATTTTTAGATGGCATTCAGCAATAGCATTACCATGGTTTTGATCACACCTCATACAGACATGAAATAGGACTTCTAGAACTACTTCAGAAAGTGGTAAGAATGATAGGATAAGTGTCTTCCAAGTGAGAAGAGTATTTTGAGACGAATTAAGGGTAATGTGTCTTATTATAATAATTTTTTAACAATTTTAAACATTTACCAGATATCTCTCGGTCATACCATGTATATTAATGGATACATCATGTGAATGAATGTGAATTAAACATCAATAACAAGGTGTAAGGAAATTAGAGTTTTTGTGTGTTATTGAACTTAAATTATTAGCTGAAAACAGACTTTTCCACCTATAAACTATTTTATGTAAATACCAAGGTAACCACACATACAAGAAATACTTACTAAAGCAATACCCCCCAAAAAAGTCAAAGCATAAAAATACAAAAAGAATCAACAGAACACAAAGAAGGGAGCAAGAGAGTAAAAGATGAAGGAATGGGACCAATAGAAAACAACTAAGAAAATAGTAATGGTAAATCCTTCCCTAGCAATAATTACAGTAAATATAAATGAATTAAACTCCCCAACCAAGGGACATACACTGGCTAAATAAAATAAGACTTAATTTATACTGATTATCTGAAACTCATTTTACTTTACTTAGTTTTGAATTTGTTCATCTTTATGGTGTGTATTATGGTAATTCAATACATGTATAATGTGTATTAGTCCAATCAGGTTAATAAGCATTTTCATCTCTTCAACCATTACTCATTTTTTTTTGTTTTGATTTTTTTGAGACAGGTCTCAGTAAGTAACGCAGGCTGGCCTTGACCTTGCTTATGTAACTTGAGCTTGCCTCAAGGTGATCCTCATGGTGATCCTCCTGCCTCAGCCCCTGGATTGCTGGGATTACAGGCATGTGCCACCATGCCCAGCTGACTGTTATTCATTTTTATGTGATGGGAATTTTGAACTCTTTTACTAATTTTGAAATATATCATAAGTGGTTTTGCACAATAGTTACCCTACTATGCTAAAGAAGAAACTCACTATAGATTTAAGGACATACATATCCTGAAAGTAAAGGGATGAAAAAAAAAGATTATCCATGCGAATTATAATCCAAAGAGAGCAAGCAGACTATAATTACATCAGACAGGCAAAATTGACTTTGAGTTATAGGGCTGGGGATATAGCTTAGTGGCATAAGCACCTGACTGGCAAGTGTAAGGTCCTGAGTTTGATTCCCAGTACCAAAAAAAAAAAAAAAAAAAAATGGACTTTGAGTCCAAACTTTCTCAGGAGAGAACGAAGGACATTTTATAATAAAATGGTCAATCTATGAGGAAGATGTAACATTGATAAAGGCATCAAATACCAGATTAATTAATATACTAAAGAAATGTAGAACTGAAAAGGGAATTATACAGTAGGGTAATATAGTAGGAGCCTTTAATACCCTACTTTAAATAATGGGCAGAAAACCCAGACAGGCATTCAGTATGGAAATAGGGCTTGTAGACCAACTGGACCTAATAGACAGAGAATTTTCTATTCAGCAGAAACAATACACACTGTTCTTCAGCACACAAACATCTTTCTCCAGGATACTTCACAAATGTCACAAGTCTTCACAAATTTAGGAATATTGAAATCATACCAAATATCTTTTCTGACTACAGTGGAATGAAACTGGAAATGAGTTATTAGAAGGAAACCTTGAAAATTCATAAGTATGTTGAAATTAAAACAGTCTTGAACAACTGTTGGGTTGAAGAAGAAATCAGACAGAAAATTAGAAAATACTTTAAGACAAAGCCAAAACTACAGTATGCCAATGCAGTGAAAGTACTAAGAGGGATCTTCACTGATACTGATAAAGCTGTACATTAAAAAGAGAAAAAAGGTCTTAAATATAAAATCTAATTCTGTATTTGAAGGAACTAAAAATGGAAAATTAAACCCAAATTTAGAAGGAAGGAAATAACAAATATAAAGGCAGAAATAAATAAAAAATAATAGAAAAGAATGAAACTAACACTTGGTATTTTGAAAAGAATTGACAAATCCTTAGCTAGACTAGGAAAAAAAAACCCCAAGACTCAGTCTTTGAGCCAGTAAGATGGAAGGGTAGCCACCTCTCTACTCTTATCTTTATCAGGCTTTGTAACTGAGATGAGAAATTAACCAAGCAAGCCATTAAAATGGAAGAGTCTGCTTAGTTATTTTGGACACCCAAAAGTGAGTAATCGCCCCAAGTGAGTGGCCTCATAAATCTCTGGAGAATTGCTGGGCTTTAGATCAAAATAAGGCCCCAGAGTCAAAAGCATCTGTAGGCTCTTGGGGGATTATCACAAGGCCAAACATCTCAAGACGTGAGTCTGACTCTTCCCACATTGCTAGGGTAGATATACTGGCTATAGAGGTAGCATTGGACCTAGAGTAGAAGATGATGCCATTGTTAATTACATGTTATGCTGTGATGTTGTGGGGAGGCTTGATAATTTTACTGTTACTTAAAGTGGAAATTTCAAAAATTTGTGTTGTCTTAGTTTAAAATCTGTCCTTTGATATTAGTTGTACATATATTTGGTTAATATTAGTTGTACATATTTTTGGGTGATATTAGTTGTACATATTTTTGGGTATGATAATGAATGTCAGTTTTTACTTTATCCTTTTCTGTGGTGGAAGAGTATAAAATGACTTCAATGAAAAAGTTCAAATAAAACAAAGGTAATTTAGTGGGAAAAGGAACATAAGTTCCTCTAATGTTCTTTATAAATGTTGTTGAATAACTTGATATTCATATGCATGAATTATAAACCTCAGTGCACATATCACAGCTTTACAATAATTAACTCAAAATGGAACATAGACAAATGTAAAACTACATAACTTCTACTACAAAACACTGCAGAATATATGTATGATCTTTTATGACAACGGACATGATTCACAAAGATAAAAATTAGCAAATTTGACTGCCAAAATGAAAAAAATTTCCTCTGTAAAAGACTGTTGGGAGTGAGAAGATAAACCATAAACTAAGAGAAAATATTCACAATTTACATATCCAGTAATCCCAGTGTATTCAGAATACAGTATATTAAGGACACTCACTTAAACAAGAGAGCCTAATTTTTAAAAGAGACAAAAGATCTGAATAGACTTCACCAAATAAGCATATGAAGATATGCTCAACATCATTATTTCTAAAAGAAATGAAAACTTTTAAGTTTTTTTATTGCTGCTGTGGATATAATTACCACAAATTTAGTAGCTTAAAACAACTATGTCAACAATTTTGATAGGTCGGAAGATTGGGTAGAGCATGACTTTGGTGGTGCATTGAATCTTCGCAGGGGTGCAGTCAAGGTGTTGGCAGGGTTATATTCCTCTCTGGAAGCTCTAGGCTTAATTCAGTTGATAGAGATTTCGTTTCCATATGGCTGTAATATGGAGGGCCAGCCTGGGGTTATTCTTAGCATCAAAATGCCACTTGTATTCTAGGCTTATCAGTACTTTCATCTTCAAAGCCAAGAGTTGAGTCCTGCGTGGAGGTTGAGTCTTTCCATATTTCAGAACACTCAAATTTTCCTTTATGCCACATCTCTAACTTCAGCCAAGAAAGGTGCTCTATCCCAAGGAATTGTGTGGTTAGATTGGGGCCACCTGGGTTATCCAGGATAGTTCTCCTCTCCCTATTTTTTTTTTTTTTTCAGCACTGGTGTTTGAACACAGGACCTTCATACTGAGCTACAGCCCTAATTCCCCTTTTAAAGTTTTTAAAAATTTATTTTGAGACAAGGTGAGTGGATGTCAGTGAATAGTCCTTTTCTGTCTGGGAAACAGCAAGAAGAAGGTGCCCGCAGATTAGAAGAAAAACAAGAGAGGCAAAGTTATGGGATCAGGGGGCTTCCGCTTCTCGGATCGATGCCCCGATTACCAATTTCTATAACCTTTTATTGAGAAAGAACAAAAGCAGCAACAGGGCAAATGGGAGGAATAATTAACAGGACTAACAAAGACAATACAACAATTATCACAGGAATGAAATGACTTAGTTAGCCATCATGTTATCATTCCTTGGGACATATCTCTGTAAAGCATCTAGTGTTGTCCCCGCAGCTTCCCACAGGAACAAAGGTCCTGCTATCTTTTCCTTTTATACTAATGCTTCTGCTAGACTTTCTCCAGAATCAAACAATCATATGGTTTGGTCAGGCTCAAAGTCCCAAGTAGGTAATACATTGAAATGTAAACTAAAGAATGCCCTTCTCCACAAGTGGATGAAGTGTGGTACCTCCATAAAGTGGAATATGTACTACTCAGTGATTAAAAGATGCAAACTATTGACTAATGCAAAACCATAAATAAATTTTAAATGTATTTTGTTAAGTGAATGAAGCCAGAATGAAAACCTACATATTGTATTATACCATTCAAGTGACACCCTGACAAAGAAAAAACTTAGGGACAAAAACTTGTCAGTGGCTGACAGGGATTGGGTATGAGGAAAGCATGACTACAAAGGAGAAGTACCTTAGAAATTCGAGGGTGATGGAACTATTATGTATGGTACCATGATGATAGGTACATGACATTTCATTTGTCAGAAGCATAAAACTGTACAAAACAAAGATTGAATTTTGCTGCATGCAAATTTTAAAGAATTCAACCATACTACAAGTAGATAGAATTCCCAAGTGGAATAATGTGACAAATTAACAAATGTATGGCATAATCTTACTGAAAGAGGTAGAAAGCAAATGAACTGGCTTCAGTAACTTGTTACCCAGTGTTTTGTTTTTTTTTTTTCCAATAGAAGGATTTTATCTGCATGTCTAAACTATTTCAAAAGGTTTTAGGAGGGGCTGGGGATGTAGCTCAGTGGCACAGCACCTGCCCAGCAAGCGCAAGGTCATGAGTTCGATTCCTGGTACCAGAAGAAAAACACACAAAAAAAAACCCAAAAAACAAAAGGTTTTAGTAATAGCCTCATCTTGTTTCTGTAGCTAGCAGTTCTTACTCATCTGTTTACTGAATTGTTCCTTTATCGAGGCCATATTCTCTATAAAAATTCTGATATGTTTGTTTTTAACTGTTTGGATTTTCTAAATGAAAGTAGCAATTTGATTGAAATACATTATTTCCTTCAGTAATTAATCCACTTTTTTGAGGGTCAGATACCAAATACAGAATTCCTGGCCTCATCCAACCTTATTGAGTATATTTTTCATCTAAGAAATTTTGGATTTCAGGAGACTCACCCTTCTGAATAACTCTTGCTGGTGAAATGTACATAGCAAGACCTCATCTTGTAAAAGGAGGCCAGTATCACAACCTTGAACATGTTCAGTACATGAGTATAGATATTGGAAACCACGGCCAGTTCTTTTCTTTTCTCACCCCATGCACTATTTGATAGCTTGGACTCTGTCTCTGTTATTTTTTTTCTTTTCCTTTCCAAGTAGACTGAGTTCTCCATTGATGTCTGGTTGAAGTGCCTCCACTGAATTCTTCGGGGGCCTCTCACAGTAACTTTGTGTACCTCCATAGTGATGTCACCGTTTTCTAGAATGTTGACAGTCTGATTACTAGCAAAAGTCCTCATTTGAGTAATAGATGCAGCCTGTAAAACTGTGGTTTAACCAGGTGCTGTAAGGTTAAAAATGAAAATAATAGCCAGGTGTGGTGGCGCACACCTGTAATCCCAGCACTCAGGAGGCTGAGGCAGGAGGATTGTTGTGAGTTTAAGGCCAGCCTAGGCTATATAAAGTGAGCTCAGCACTAGCCTGAACTGCATAGCAAGATCGTGTCTCAAAAAGCCAAAAAAAAAAAAAAAAGAAGAAAAGAAAAGAAAAGAAAATAACGATACACAAACATCTAGTCTAGTTAGTAAAAAGAAGGATTTAACCTTCTTACCATCAGAACTTTTTTTTTTTTTTTTTGAGACAGGGTCTCACTGTGTAGTTCAGGCAGGGCTTGAATTTTGTATGTAGCCCAGGCTGTTCTCAAACTTGCAGTGATCCTCCTGCATCAGGTTCCCAAATGCTGGGTTTACAGGTGTTTGTCAACATGCTCAACTACCATCAGAACTCCTGATAAGACAGTACTAACAGTACCTTTTGTTGCTTCCCTGAAATATAATTATTTTACCATTTTTGGTTAAATTCCCACTTAATTTTTTAAATGTTCTAAAACACTAAAGGTAGTGTTTGTCAGTTTCATAAGTTTCTTAGGAATCTGTTTTCATGAAGCTATATATATATTCCCCGACAGAGCTATTAATAAATTCCTGGACCATCTCCAGTGTGTCTACTCCTATTCCTATCTACCCCATGCTTAAGCTCCATATGATCATAATAGTTAGTCATCCTTACACTTACTAACACCTCTGTGTTATGAATATTTTAGGCCTTTTTGCTATAGGTCACATTTACCTTGTGGGTGCAGTTTTTTGAAACCACAAGATAAGCCTGTCCTAATGACTTTCTACTCTTTCAGATCTGTCTCCTCGGACTTTGGCCCTTCCTAAAAAGAAGAGGAAATGGCTGAATCCCAGGTAAATATTAAATTGTGTCTTTGTTCTTTTATTAATGCAAATTAAGGGGACTGTACTAGTTCATACAGCAAATTAGAAAGGGCTGTATACATAAAACTTTTTCAGAGGAAGTAGAGTTAAAAGATTAAAACTAGAGAAGAGTTGAAATGTGATTATTTTACAAAATATGTTCATTTAGAGAGATTAAAGTTGGGCTTCAAATTTGAATTTCATTTCTATAAAGTAAATCAGAGCAGAAGGTCAATGAAAACATTACAGTGTGGCTTCTTATAGTTGATAAACTGGCTTTTTTGGTTGTTATTGTTAGTCTGTTTTGATCAAAGATTAAAACAAAGAATTAGGTTAAAATAGCCCCGCATTAGAAAAAATGCAAATGAACACTGAGAGAAAAAGAAAGGAACTACAGTATTTCATGTAGTAGAATACTACATAACAATCAGAAGAACATATAGTTGCTACATGCAGCAACATGGGTAGATCTTGTCAATATAGAGAAAAGCCAGAAACAACAACAAAAAAATGGTTCCATTTATATGAAAACAAAAAACTGGCAGAACTGATCTGTGTTATGAGAAAAGTCATAGTAGTGTATTTATGCGGGGAGGGGTGCAGCATACTGGGAAAAGCATGAGGTAACCTGGAGTGTTGAAAACGTTCAATATTTTGATTTTAAAAGTAGCTAATAGACCAGACATGGGGTATATGTCTGTAATTCCAGCACTTGGGAAGCTGAGGCAGGAGGATCACTGTGAATTCGAGGCTAACGTGGGCTACAGTTTGAGTTCAAGGCCAGCCTAAATTGCATAGTGGAACCCTCTCTCAACAACAAAAACGAAAAAGTAGCTAGTAATTGTATAAAAATACATCTGGTTGTCCCTGTAGGGTTAGTGTATTGTACATTATTCTATGCATGCCATGAAACAATTGAAAAAGAGAAAACTAGACTGTCTGAAGAAAGAGGTTGGATGTGTCTTTCAGATGATCCTATGTCATTATCTTTTTCTGTGGGCTTTTGCTATGGATCAAGCTACAATTTAAAGTAATCATTCCTGGTAAACACTAGACTATGAACAAGGAGTGTGTTTTACATTGCTTGCTGCCTTATCACCAGTCCCTAGAACAGTGCCTAGTACAGATTTTTTTCTTTGAATATTTGTAGTTTTAATGAATTGTGTCCACAGTTCCTTATTTCTTTATTAAGCCTTAGAATAATGTTGTATCTCCTCCTCAAGGGTCATTCTTTTTCTCCAGAACTTAACCCTTTTTTGGGAACTTTTTCTTTCATATTTTATTCTACACTTTTAGCTACTGAACATATCTCACTTTACTGCTTTTTCATTATAGTTTGCTATCCTGAAATAAAGTTCTGATCAAAATATGTGGTGAATGTTTAAATTTTAAAAAATTGTTACAGTACAGACATATTGCCACTAATCCCCTCAAAATACTCCCCTTCATTTGGAACACACTTTTCCCATTGTTCTTGCTACTTTCTGAAGCAGTTCTGGAAGTCCTCTTTCGTGAATGTCTTTACAAGGTATAATAAAATATATAGTGAATGCTGCTGCCATACACCATGCAATGAAAAAGAAGGCTCATAAAAACATTATGTTGCTCTCATCCACCTTATTTATCAGATCTAGTACCCTGCAATTTCTGGCTCTTCCCAAAGTCAAAATGATTATGAAAGGTAAGTGTTTTGAATCAATTCAGGACATTGAGGCAGCCATGATAGCACAACTAAAGATAATCACCAAAGAGGACTTCCAGAATTGTCTCAAAAAGTGGTAAGAGTGGTGGGATAAGTGTATTTGAAACGATGGAGAATAGTTTGAGGGTGATTAGTGGCAGTGTACCTTTTATTGTAATTTTAAAAAGCAAGCAAACTAAGTATTCACTGTCGTTTTTGAACATATCTTATATACCCTTCTATGACCGTGTATTCCTATGTACCAGCTTTTCTGTATCTCTCTTTTGCCTAGGCACACTCAGCTAATTTCCAAAGTGAACACACTTGTGTAAAAAGCACAAGCACTGTCAACCAACAACAAATGCGGGAGGGGCTGTGGGGGAAAAGGAACCCTTCTCCACTGTTGGTGGCAATGTAGACTGATACAACTGCTTTGGAAATCAGTCTGGAGATTCCTCAAAAAATTAAGATTAGAGGTCCCATTTAACCCAACCATTCTCCTTCTGGGTATTTTCCCAGAAGAATTACAAATATCATACCACAGTGATATATGTGCACCCATGTTCATAGCAGCACAATTTGTCGTAGCAAAATTTTGGAAACAACTCAAATGCCCATCACCTGAGGAGTGGATAAGAAAAACATGGTATTTTTATATAATGGAATAGTACTTAGTTATAAAGAAAGATAAACTCGAGGCTTTTATAGGTAAATGGATTCAACTAGAGACCATACTCATAAGTGAAATAAACCAAACACGCATATGTAAACACCATATTGTCTCCATAGTGTAAGTACCTGAAAAAGTAAATAAAACTGAAAGGTACAATACATATTGTGAAAGGGAAAGAAACTGCTTAATAGGAAAGAACAACTGGATGAAGGAAAGAGGAAAACAAAGAAGGAAGGGAAATAAATAAATAAATATATATATATGTATATATATACACACACATATACGATAGCTAAGATAATTGTACTACTAATTTCTGTTTTATTGAAAGGAACAGTTAATGTTTAATTGTTTGATCAGTCTTGCATACCTATATCTGGTAATCTGAGCAACTACTTTCAAGATACAATAAGTAATACAACAACTATTGTCGATTTCCTATCATCTTGTTCTGAAATTCTGTATCATTTTTATAGTTTTTGTGTTGTTTTGTTTTTGTCTTTGTTTTTATTATTTTGTTTTTGTTCTTTTCTCTTTAAAATAAAAAAAAGTGCAAGCACTAGATCAAGGAGTGGAATTCTACCCTAGCTTCCTAGAAGACCTCTATTGCACTTCGTAGTTTACCCCTATCCCAAAGGGAACAATTGTTCAACTTTCATCACCACAGCTTATTTCTGCCAGTCTTTTATTTTTGTATAATTTATGTACCTGTATCTAGCTTCTTTTGTTTAATATTACTTTTGTCAAATTCATCCATGTTCAATTGCTACGTGTAGTTTTATTTCAGTTAATCTCTTTGCTATATATTGTCTCACTATGTGATTAAACTAGATTTTATTTATTCATATTACTGTTGATGGGCATTTAGTTTTTCTTTGGAGGAAATTATAAATATTGTTACTGTGAGCTTTCATGTAGATGTCCTTTTTGCACACACATACACATTATTTTGGATATATACCAGAAGATGCATGGCTGGGCCATAGGTTATGCATAAGGTCAGTTTTTATTAAAAACAGTTTCCAAAGTCATAATCCAAAATCATATTCTTAATAGGGCCTGAAAGTTCCCTGTCACTCCAAAATAACTATCTTGGATGTATTTTCTGTGTTTACCTTTTAACATAGTATGAATTCATAAGTAATAAAAGAAATTCAGCTAAATTTGAGTGAGTAAAAATTGTATTTTATAATATAATCACCATGAATAAACTAGCAAAACTTGTCAATCACATGGTATGTATAGAAGACCCAATAAAATATTTAAGTATATATTTATAAATCAGCAATTAGAATAAAATCCAATAGAGAATATGAAAAAAAATTTAATTAAAAAGAGAATGACTTAAAAAGTCATAATTATATAGACATCTAAGTTTTTAAAAGTTTTTCATGCATTATATAATTCTCATAAGTCTGAAAAGTTAATACTTTTATTATTTCCTTTTTTCATAAAAAGGTTAAAAAGCAGAAAAATTTAAGAAACTTGCTGGAGGTTGTAGGTAAAGATTGTACTGGAACCAGGATTTAGTTCAAGCAGTATGACTGTAGAGCCAGTGTTATCATCCACTACCCTCTGCTAATGTAGCTGTACTTGTGATTAATAAAATTCAAATAAGATTTTGAAAGTTGTCAGATTAGTCTAGTTTTTACAAGTCTACTCTCATATCTCAGATCTGGTCGCTGGTTAACATTCCTGTGGTTCTCACAGCCCAGATCACATCATCT